TAATTTTTTTAACCAAATATTTATTGTAGCCTTCCAATTAAGTTTGTTATTAATGATAACACCGAGGTATTTGACTTGGTTATCCTAGGCGAGGGGGATATGAAAATGAAATAAGTCTTGAAGTACTCTTTTCTTTCTTTTCTTTAAGCATGGCGTGGCTACTTAAAGGATTAACGGTTACTTTCCACGTTGTTAACCAATCTTCAAATAAGGTAAGGCAGGATTGCATATATTTAAAGGCAGGAGGCGGAGAATTTGAGCTGCTGTAAATAACAGTTTCATCGGCCTACAACGCAAGGAAGTTTGAGTGGTAGGGGGAGTATCAGACATGAATAATGAGAATAAAATAGGAGGCTCTAAGGTCCTCTGAGGGACCCCAGTGTTAAGTGGTTTGAAATCCGATAGTTCTTACAAGAACAATGAGAGGTTGCTGAGGCATGACTAGTCTTTCCTTAAATAACAGTAATCCCTTGTAAAAGAGGGGCATTAGTGGTGTTCCACAAGCCTTACGATTTTTTAAGTGTTAGAGGGGCTTCTTCGAAAACCAAACTAATAAACTGGAATAAGGTTTTTCATCATCAGCATATTGTCGCAATTAAAAGAAGCACAGCTTCTGCAACTTTTTCTAAGCAGGTAAGTAGGCTAATTGGGCGATAACCTTTCGCGTAGTTGCTTGGACGAAATGTTTTCGATATAAAAACAAGTCAGCTTGCTTCTCTCTTAAAGGAAAATAACCATGGGTAACAGTTGAGTTAATAAGCTCTGTAAGGTAATTGTTTGAGGTAAAGAAAGATTTTATGCGTTTTATCTGAAATTTTATCAGGACCCAAGCTCTTCCTGGTGTCCAAGTCTGTCGATTATAGGTTGTATCTCATTTATATTCGTAATGACATTCAAAGTGAGTAGTGGACCCCTACAACGGAAAAAAAGTGTAAGTTGCTTTCGCATGAGTGCTTCGTGTTCCCTGTCCGTCGATAATAATGTTGTACATTGTCCGTTGCCCACTATTACAGCAAAGAAGTTGCCTTTTTTGAAGTTTGCGTAGATAACTTGCCCACTTCTTAACTATAGTAACTTTGGACCTTTTCTTGATTGCATTCGCTTTTTTTTTAAAGTGTTTTCGGTAAGAATTAAGGATCGAAGTTTATCTTCAGTATTAGGTTTCAAGGGGAAAAAAAGCACACAACTCTCGTTTAACAAGGCTTACTAATAATCTTTTTAAGACCAATTTATAGTTAGGGCCCACCTAATTATGAATTGTCTCTTTAGCGGCGTTTTTCAGACCTTAAGTTCTTTTATGTGAAAAGGAATATTAAGCTTAAAGTTTTCAAAGAATTTAAAGTTGGTTGCCTACTTTAAAGATTTGAAAAAAGAGTCTTTTAAAGACGAAAATAGCTCTGTTAACTCCGGAATAACATGACGGACAAGACAAGGAAGGTAAAATGTCGCTTACAGATTTTTTAAAAAGATTCCAATCAGTAATTTTTTTTCAAATTTCTCAGTTGTGTCCAAAAAATTAGCTCAACTTCCAGCAGGGATGGGCAATGGTCAGATCACAAAACGTAGAGGGTTTTAACATATATAAGCTACACGTACGTTTTCTAAAAAGGCCACAGCCAGTACATGCACCGAGCTGCGTGTTATGGAGGTTTACAAGGACTAAGATAACACATCATTCCCTTTTGCTCACGAATTTAGTATTTTATCGTAAGAATTATCGACTCCACTGTTCCTTGGTGGATGTTTACATTTTGAGTCTCCGTTAACAATGACTGAATGGGCATCGTCAAACAACTTATGCAAACTTTTAAATTCAGATTCTTATTTGGAGGCTTATAAGTATATAAAATTTTCAAGTTTAGTATGTATGCCAGCTAATTCTATCCTCTGTAGCTCACGATATTTCATAAAGGTGTGTATAATGTCCTTTTTTTTAAGAATGGCTTCACCTCCTCCACCCATATTACAAGGATCTTTCCAAATGCAAAACCTATTACCACTGTTCAGGTAAGTTTCAGTAATCCGTGCAAGGTAAATATCCATTCTTTCAATTAATTTTCTGTCCCAGACCCCGTTAGCCTTCCAGACAAGTATTTTTTGCATTTTATATCAATTTTTTCAACCGTAGTCGATTGTTTAATTTTTAAAAATAAGTCGCTTATCAATTCTGGAGATAGGGGCGCTGAAGGCTTCCGTTAAAAGTTAACAATTTGTTCATAAACTCATCAAACTTAGTGGAAATTTGTGCAGTTTGGTATGCAATCGCCTGAGCGTAGGTTTTGTTTAGTGTAAGTACACTGTCTGTTATTTGATGTGACCGAATAACATTCATTAGGGCTACCTCAATAACTAGCGGAGTGTTCACCCTTAAAGTTGGTGCATCTTGGTTTCGGTTTTTTTTTCAAGCACTTTATAGAGTCATGGTTTTCACCGCCTTTAACGCATCAAAATAACGCATTGGTACTGAGAAGTACAGAATTTGACCGTGTGGTCATAATTGCAGCGATTACATTGTCCAATTCTGTCATTTCTTTTAAAGGTTCAACGGAGATGGATTAAAATCCAATGGTTTTAAATAAAAATAGTATTTTTACTTTTGGGTACTTTGACTAAAACTAAGGGTTGCGGAGTTCTATCTTGAGATACTTCCGCATTCTTAAAATCTAGTAGGGTAGAACCTAGATTTCCTATGTCTTTAATGTCTTTTACGCGCACTTCCTCATGGACCCCACGCAAGTTTGCCTTTTAAGCCCTTTCTCGGAGTATGCCATCCCCTAAAAAAAAGCAAGTCATGGAAAGAGGCCTTGAACTGAGTGTGACCTGCGCGCCTGGATAATTTTTTTGCGAACTACTTAACTTGTTTTGCACTACTCATTATTTATAATTGCATCAATCCGAAAGTATAGTATTCAGCCATTCTGAATCTGAAAGAGAGCTAAATTATTTAAAGTCTTTTTTGGAAGACGCAGGACCCCTTACTTCACGTCTCCAGTGCTTCTTAAAATGGGCTTTAGTTCTTGTAAATTTTCCTTTTTTTTAATATTGTTGAAGTTATTTTTTCTTTCCAGGTGATTAACTTTCTCTTTAAGCATCGCTACCAGATTTCGTTTGTATAAGATGTACTCTATAGCCACCAGACCAGAAAAATGCGAGTTGTTACCAAAAGGAATAGAATCCGCTATCTTGAGATTGCGCGACAACGCTCAGACCACTGAGTTACATTGACAACACATCTTGGGTCGATAAATTGCATTACAACTTTTGTTAATCTCTAACTCCTTATTTAAGGTAGCGTTCGCAACCAATCGATTGACGGTAAGTTTCCTGTAGTCCTGTATTAGAGGAAAAATACTCATGACCTTTAAAAAATACATATGTATATTAAGGATTATGCAAAAAAAAAAAAAAGTAATTAATATAAATTATAAATAAATATATTTATATATATGTGTTTTATATAAGTAAATAAACAAACAAAATAATTAGTAAAAGTGACCTAAGTATGAATAATAAGTTGTGCAAAACAAGATAATAGTCATAGCAAGTTACTTCCATATAAGCCCGGTTAAAAAAAAAAACTATATCTTGGGTTACTGATTAGCTATTTGAACGAGTCACTCTGGGGAGATAAGTTAACTGGTGTACACTACCATATTTTATTAATAAAAAATGAGAATATAACTATAATATCAATCTCCTTTCCTAAACTTAGTATATCGTTTCCAATTTTTTTTTAAATACTATCACGAATGGCACAGGACATGTAAAGAGGTATTAAAATATACACCTAGTGGAACCTAACCCCTTTCTTCTTTCGTCTCTCACGCTGTGCTCCTGTGCCCTGTTTCATGTACATTAGGTTTGTGGTGTATGTAAATTTTAACAACAGCGAAAGCTTTGAAGTATATTCAATAGTGATATTCGAACGCTTACGGAGTTTAAAGTAAGTAAATAGTGATTATATGAAGTAGTTATTACGTCCACTACCAATATATCGAGTAAAAAAAAAATTCCGTATAAACAAATAGCTAGTGTTGAAAATTAGACTCATTAAAAATTTAGATTTTTTTCTTCTCAAATTTTTTTTAGTAAGCAGAATACTGCTTTTTTTTTTATTATCCAAAACTAATTAGCTATAAAAAACTTGCACATTTCCCCATAATACAATTTTTTTAGGTTAAAAAATAAAGATGGCCTATGCTAATAGTGCTTATACTGTAATGGTTTATTATAAATGGCGCTTCCTGGTGCTCAATATAGTTCATGTACTCGAAGCTAGAAGATATTGGGAATAAGTTAGCTTTAACATATAACAATTTTAAAGTCTTTTTTTTACGTTTGCTCTAAACTCCTAACTTTACATCTAACCATTATATTTAGGGCGCGTCAGAAGGAAAAGCGATCTCTTGGCTAGTAAATGAGGACTAGCCTTCCCAGCTTATCTTTCGCTGGCGGTGTAGTGTGCCACAGCGCACAACTTTCGGCATGTTTGTTAAAAGAGGCAGCAATCTATATTTTTGGACCTGAAGCGGAAAGCTCTAGCTAACGAGTTATAGGCTGAAGACAACAGATAAACTTATAACCTTCGCTTAATGCGCAACAAGAGAGCTTACTTGTCCTACAAATAGAGGGCGTAAGATCTGAGTCGTTTTTTGACCTTAACCAACTCACTTATACTTACGGACGCCACGATAGCTTATCATAAACAATGGCCCACAGATAGTTTATCGGTGGGCACCACATTGAAGTTAAACACCGTCAACAGTGCAATAGTTTTGTTATAAAGGGCATCTATTGTGCTAGGCAATTCCAAGGCATCAGCTTAACTAATCGATTTAGAACTCGGGCTTAAGGGTCGTGTAGTTAACAGTTGAAGAGGTATGTAACAAATACTGAGTAGCAAGAGAGCAAGACGACTAGCAAAATTTTTTTTTAAATCTTTATTACCACTCCCGCTATAATATTGCCATTGTGTAGTAGCAGTCTTGGCGTATACCGCAATGATTGATTAGCGTAGTGCTACTCAGTTGGATCTCTCATTTAACGTTTAGGCACCCCATCAACTTTTGCCATATGTGCGGTGATAAAGTGGCTTCGCACCTGTTCCTCCTTGACGCGCTGGAAACCCATGACTACTCGGGAGGTGTGCGCCTTCGAGTGTCTTAAAGCTGTTTAGGGACTTTTTTAGTGTGGGCTTCATCGAAACCCGCAATATTATATAATAAAAAGATGCCGGGAACTCTTAGCAAGAGGGAAGAACTTGAAAGGTTATACGCAGAGCGAGAAAATATAGAAAAGTCTATTGCCGCACAGTTAATTGTTTTGCAAAATGAGGGTGTTGGTATGCTTGATCAGCTTGTCGATAGGTTATTATTAAAGTACTGATACCATTTTTTTTTTATTTACTATAATGAAAATTGTGTAGTTATTGTACTAAAAAAACTAAAAAAATTAGTTTCAAGGGCATCTAAGTTACTTTATATTCTTTTGTTAATAAAGTTTAGTAAAAAATTACATCTGTAGCGAAGGTTTTCCCAGAGCAGATGTCAACGTGCATTCTATCAGAACAGCCCGTTCGATAATAATCAGGTCAACTTTTAATTTCAATACGTGAATTTTATTTAATATTTATATAAGGCTTCGGAACGATCTTAAAGAAATTGAAGTACAAATTAGTGAGTGCGTTTCCGAGGTTTTTAAAGAAATTGAACAGCAGGTATGTAGAAATAATTTTTTATAAGATATATTTATAATTTTTATTACAAGAAAATTATTTTTTATTTTCTTATTGAATTTTCAGTCGTATTTCATAAGTTACCTTTTTTATAAAAGTGCTCCTTTTGTATATATCTCTACTTAAAAAAAAATTTACAAAGTTTATAATTACAACTTACTATTTTACTTTACATTTATTAATTTAACTTATTTTTAAAATTCTACTTTTTGTAAGAATTCTATCGAAGCTACAAATTCTGAATTTGAAGCTAATTCTACTGATAATTTGGCTTCTGGCATCAAAAATATAATAAAAAAACCGTTTCTTACTGTTTCTGGTTTTTTAATTTTTACTTGATTATTTAATTTATTTAACAAGTTTTATTTTGTAGTAATTTATTAAAAGTATATATAATTTTTAGTTGAACTGAATGTTTATTTTCATAAAATAATTTTCTAAATTAATATGTTTACAGTCATTGTTATATTTTTTAAATTTTAAATAATAACACTAAATATAATATTTATTTATCTATGTTGAAAGGAAATTAATTGAGACATTCATTTACTCAATTATATTTATAAATTTGTACCCATTATTTATTATAGTATATTATTGACTATTAAAACTAAATTTTATAAATATATGTTTTATAAATATAAATTTCTAAGTTTTTTTCAAGAAATTAATATTTATATAATTATACGTTTATCTGTAAACTTAAATATTATTTTTATTAAAGAGATTAATGTTATTATTTATTGTATGTAAAACTAAAACATTAACTTTATATATTTTAATTGTTTTTAAATATTATTTATCAAGATGTTTTATATAATCACTGAAAGTAATTAATTACTTTATAAACTTTTTATAAATTTATTTTTTTAAAAATAATTATTATAAACTGTAGCCAATTTTTTTGTTCTTGATTTCTTTTAAATTTTACATTATAACTAATTTAAAATTTACATTTTATTATTAATTATATTTATAAATTCTATCTTATTTCTTATTTCTTGTTTAGTACTAATAAGCACAATTTTCTTTAGTTGTAATTAAATTTAATAAAATTATTAATCCAGGTGTTCATTCATCGTCGCCTGCATATGCCTGCGGATTAAAATCTGGTGATCGTGTAAGACTATTATAACAGTTTACTTGTGATTATTTAATTTGTTAAAGCGAATAAGCTGTATAGCTATTTGCTTATTCTAATAATTAATTTGATTGGTTCGCTTGTAAATCACGTGGGTTTCGGTGGTATTTGACTACTTATTGGCTCTAAGTTTAAGTTATTATCCTAATTGGTAGAATCGGAAAATTTAAAAAAAGTTGTGTAACAAAATTTAATCATCAACAATTTATTTTTTACATTCAAAACTTTTCTTAGTTTAAGAATTATTATATTTTGCTATTTATTTTTTACTTTTCGGAGTCAAGAAACGTTTTTTTAGCATAAAAGCTCCTTTGAACTTTGCTAATCGAAAAAATAAAGCTTGCATATAGAACTTTTTAGTTGAGTCACAGTTCATAGGAATTTAATTAAAATTTGGTGTTTTGGAAGCAAATTTAACAAAATCTAAAATTCAAATTGTCTTTCCTGTTAAATTTTTGTTAATACTTATAATAATTTATAAAAATTTTAACAATTTTTGGGTGGAGACTCCAGGTTTTATATGTTATTAGAGAGTGGAAACAGCACCTTTAATAAAATTTAAAAAGGGCTAAATTTATAAATAAGCAAGTTTTTAATTGGTTTTTTAAATAAATGATTAGCGATTTTTATTCAACTGTAAGAAATTAAGCTCTTTATATATTAATAAAAGAAAAACTTTTTGCACGCATCCCACGTTTGCCGTTAAAAACTATTATTATTACGTTTGATTAATATTTATTTCTGTATTATTATTATTTTCCTGACCCTTATATTATCTCGTTAACATTTTTCAAAATTTTCCTAACTTTATTTTTTTAATGATTTTAACTTTTTTCTCTAAATTTATTAAATTCATAGAGGAAACTTCATCTATTCAGTAATTATGACTATTAATAACAAGATTATTATTATAAATTTAACCTTGTTAGTATTAAACTTTATAAAATTTAGATGAATCGTTAATAGAAAGCTAGAAATAGTGAAAAGTATTAAATAATAAAAGAGTAAATACTTAAAAGCACATAGATATCTACTTCTGCAAACAACACATGAACAGTTTAATTTTAAACCAATTCATTACTTTATACTATTAAACTAGACAAATATAAATATAAAAATATATAATAAACTTTACTAGTTAACAACACTGTTTTGTTTATTTTTTTATAATAAAATGTATTAATAGATACTTTCAATTGGATCTGTTCATCAAGGAAACTTCATTTCTTTGGAGACTTTAAGTGAATATATTAAACATTATGAAAATAAAGAACTTTTCATTGTATAAACTTAGCTTTAGGCTTTTATGAACTTTTGGAAGAATTTAATTTAAAGAATCTTTTATTTTATAATTTTTTATTATCTCGCGTTGCTTGAAACTAGCGATTTTCTTTTCTTTTAATTATTTAAATTTTTAATTTCCTTTTTCCTCCTAAATTAGTCAATTATTCGCAATGAAGTTGAACTTCAACTGACTTTAATTCCTAAAGTCTGGTCGGGAAGAGGCTTATTGGGATGCCATCTGACACCTTCATAAAGATTTATAGATCTTTAATTAATAAACTCACCTGTGTTGAGTGGAATTAACTTCACTGGATTCTTTTGTTATTTGATTCGCTTTCCAAATTTTTTAAACCATCTTCAACCTTAATTCTAATTTATTGCAGTTATCTTATAAAATATAAAGTTCTATTAATATTAAAAATAAAAAGTATTGGAGGCATCCCACGTTCTATATAACTTTCAATAGTTTTATATTATTTATGAGTGAGGAGTGTACACGGTTTTATTAAGGATGATCTTTTTTTTTTTGTTATTTCCCCGCTTTGATCTATTTTTTATCATTATGATAATGATTTCCTCTAACAATATTTATCCCGTAGTACTTTGACTTAAGGAAAAGTTGTAAAAGACTTGGTTATAAAATTAACCGTCAAAGCAATAAAATTAATTATTTAAGTTTATATTTAGTAAGCCAATATTTAAACCAACACTTCATCGCAACTCCGCAAAAGTAATATTTTAATTAAAACGCTTACAATCTTTTTATAAAAGAAATTTTTTTTATGTCGTGAGAAACATATATAACTATTTTTTTTTTATTGGACTTACACTTGCTCGAAGCGACTATCGTTTATAAGTAAGCTTATATCTGTGAAATTCGCTCATATAAATAATGGGATAACACAACGGAATATGTGGTGGGCCGGTCTGTAAACTCTATTTATGGATGCCACAATTACGGGTACAAAAGGGCTAAACAAACAACACAGTCGCTTTTTTTTGCTATGATAATTTTCTGATGCTCAAACGGGTAGTAAAAGAAAGCACCGGATTTACGAGCTCTCAACAGGGCGATAGCGTACATATTAGCTCTAAGATTGTTTTCCGGTCTTCGTAAGAGACCTTAAGCCGCATAATCTGAATTCTCCTCTTCTGCGGGGGTCCTCTTTATAGAGCTATAACGACTGTCCAGAATGACTAAAAAAACGGAAAATAGCGGGCCAGGATTCCCGTCATTCGACCTAGTGTGGTGGAAAACCGCTAAAGACCATTATTGGGAGGGGCAGCCTTAAGCACAAGAACTTATGGCGATACCGACCAGCATCACTGCCAGGCAGGCCTCCCCGATTAAGCTCCTCACTTAGAAAAGAGGAGCCCTGTTAAGTTTTTGTTATAGCAAGCTTATATTCATATATTAAAAATAACCCGAATCTATATTATATATTTAGAATCCATTGCGCGCTCAGCGATAGCATTCGCCGACCCAGATCATCTATCAGTAATCGATTGGTGTGCTGGCTGAGCCGATCGTAGGTGGCGATAGCATTGCGTCGAAAAACTTTACCCATAAGTTCAAATCTGGAGGACTTTATGTAAAGCATCATTGCGAACAAACCACTGCGCGCCCGTCATAATCGTAGCAGCTTCTTTTGTCTCACCTGAAGCGAAGAGACTATTTCCGGTGCTTAAAGGCTCAGGCAGTAAACGCGCATGTCATGTCGGTCGGATGTACGACACATATAAGCGTCCTTTGTTGTGCAGCGAGAGTTTACTTCGGGTAAAAAGTAAAGGATAAAGAATTAACCACCGCCTGGACCTTCGCCGCAATGTAGTTTACGTGCGGCCACCAAGAGAGCTACTGTCAATAATAACCCCAAGTATTTCACTTGAGGACACCGAAAAATTACCTTATTTTCAAAGGTTAGCAGCGGTAGTGGTGTAGTGCGCTTCTTTGTGATAAAAAGGGTTCTCTTTTCCGCATTAATAGTAAATTTCCAAAGATGACAGCAGTTGGCAAGCGTCACTAGGTAGCGCTGCAGGTGCTGGCGCAATAGGACAGTGACGAGGAGTAAATCGCCGTGTCACCGAATATAAGGCAATTTGCTTGTAGAGACCATCAGGCTGCGGCACGGCGCGTACATATAATGCAAAAAGTAGGGGTGATAAAAGACCTACTTGGGGGGCTCCAGCTAATAGTGGTCTTAGGGGTGCCCGCGTGTCGCCCACACGTATCTAAGAAGTTGTATTTGTTAAGATTTGATCATGTTAAAAAGAATATTAGAATGGGCTATGGGCGCGCAATTTGTGAGGCAAGCCCTTAAGCTAAATTCGGTCAAACGCTTTCCTAACATCACGAAAGCCTGCGCCTGTTGTCTTTAAATTGAAGGCAGAGTCATCCACTCTCTCAGTGAAGAAGTTGTTGAGTTATAATGTCCTTGTCGAAATCCGAGTTGGAACTCTGGCGGGGCGTGGCTTGCGTCAACAAATGCTTTTAATCGGCGCAATACGTTCGCCTCCGCTACTTTGCCAAAGGCCGACAAGAGATTGATAGGTCTTTGTTTGCTTGACTTAGATGCTGGTCGTGGTGCCTTCAGGAGCATCACAACAGTTGTCGTCTTCCAGCGCAATGGGAAGGTGCCGAGAGCCATCGTTGAGTTGATGAGGCAGCAAAAGCGTTTTACCGCCACCATTTATAAATTTTTTAACATCACGTTAGTGATACCGCCGGGCTAGGTTTCTTACGCCTCATTAAAGCGTTAAGGATCTCTACGATTTCGACCATGGTGCTTGGATCAAGCTGTTCCCAGGCGTCAGGAAGGAATTTTTCACAAAGCCCTTCATCAGCCACTAAATAAGCAGGTGGCACAAAACTAGTAGCGAAGGGAGCGGCGAAAAGTGTCTCTTTGTCAGCATCATTTTCAGTCACGGAATCGTCGTTTCGCATAGTAGGTAATGGTGAACGCGCGCGGTTTTTGGATTTCCTAATAAACTTCCAGAAAGAGTCGCGACCGTTACCGTTCTCATCCGAAAAAAAATTACTTAACTTTGTAACCCACAATCGGTTATGGTACGCCAGCAGCTCTTTCCTTATGCGCCCGTGTAGCCTATTAAGCGCTAATTTAATTTCGGGACGTTGTGACACCTTGGTAACTCAATTATGGCGTGGCCGCCTTGCAGATAAGGGCCTTCAATTCACCAGGCAAGCAGTTAGAGCGGAACTCAACTTCACGTGTTGACTAGGCAGTATGGTAGGCCACGCCATGGTCAAAGCTCCCTCAAATTCAGCAAAAACAACGTCAAGCAAGGTGAGCGCGGAGGATGTTGAAAAGGTTATATCAAGAGACTCGTAGTATTAAGACCAGTTCGTTAAAGTTCTGGTATATGCCCTCAGCTCCTTTTCTTCTCTTAAATAAAGCAGAACTGGAGGATGATCCAACGAGAGTTCGTAAAGAGTTTCCATTGCCTTGAAATATGAATAATTTCAAAACAACGGTATCTAGTATGTCTGATATACCTGTCTTCGTCATGTGCGTTGAGTACTGTGGTTCTAAGGCATGCGGTCCGCGCTCCTCGGTGTAAGTTCCGAGGATTCGGCCGTTTGGGTATCGACACGGCTGTTCGGGCGGGTGCGGTTAAGGTACCCACATACAACTGAGAAACAATTTATATAAAGGACATCAAGATCTGAGGTAATAAGTGGTCTTCTGGGGGGATTGTAAGCTGCAGTTACTGACAAGGGCCCTTGGCTGGTAAATAAAACGTTCGTAAAGGAAATCTTTAATATTTAAGAAGTGCGATTTATGCTCCAACACGGGGCCTTTGATTTGCTACTGCATTTATTAATTGAAACAACAAAGCTAATTTGGTACCGAGACTAAAACCAAAAGTGTATAATTTGATGCTTACCAATGGCTTTCTTTTTTTCATCCTTGACAAATTCAGCCATCCCTTTTGTTTTGGCTTTGCAGATTTAACTTATTTTTCCTTATTTTTTTTAGTTTTAACTTTATTTGGTTGGTTTGTCTTTTTTTGCTATATTTATAATAATGCTTGTTAGTGATAAACTTCCAGCTAAGAGTCCGGCCCTGATTGTAGATAGTAATGGACACGTACAATTTAAAAAGGACAAAAAGTATTCTTTTTTAGTTATTTATTTTAAATATACCACTCTTATGATTTATAGAATTTATTGTTGTGACTTTTTACATAGAAGATTTCATATGTAAAATTATTTAGGTTTCCTTTAACTAAGTCAAAGCTACAAAGTTTGATGCAAGCCGAACGTAAAAATTCAAGTCATTCAGCTCCTTCTTCTACTTGGCCTAAAAAAGTTTTTAGCTTAATTTTAACTGAGTTCTTTGTTCGCATATGTATTTTAGAAAAAAAATATTCGAAATGACAAAAGAGTTATTTTTCAGTTATTAAATATTCCAACCAAACGTTCTGTTCTTTCACGAATTCGCGAATCTGGTAGTTGTTTATTTACAATAATAACTTTTTTACTTTTACTCCTTCTTTAATAGATAAGTTGGATGACTCGGGGGACATCCTCTCCCGTCTTTCAAAGGATTTATCCCTTGAGGATGATGATACTTTTGAGGACCATAAAAGTATTAAATCGAGAATTTCTTATAGTGTTAAAGAAAATAAAAGCGAAGATAAGTGGTGGTTTCAGGTTCTTTATTATTATTTTATTAGTAGTGATCTATAGTGGAAATTTTTTATATTTTTTTTAGTTAAATATATAACTTTAAGAATTTTTAAAAATTTATATTACTAAAGAACTTCACTGCTACTATATGTTGTTAATAGCTATTACATTATAATATATAATATCAATATATATAATTTTATCAGATTTTGTATAAATATTAGTATTACTATAATTATTATATATACATTTATAGTTCTAGCTTTTTTACTTAACTACATAGTATTAATATTTATAATTATATTAGTTTTTATTATAATATTGGTATTATTACAGTATTATTATTATTATAATATTAAATAATCATTTATATTTATGCTTTTTTAGTTTATAGAAATAACTTTTTTAAATATTTTTGTATATAAATATGTTTATATATTCTACTTTATTGTAATCTGTTTATAGCTATTAATAAACTTTTTATATACTAATAATTTCTATTTATTTTATATTTATTCACATTTACCCAATTTTTTTTAGTTTTCTAACTATATTATTTTTTTACTTTATCATATATTTGTTTAGCACGACGTCCGCACTTCTTCTGAGCAGTTTAAGGAAAATCGGCCTGAGGAAGCAGATCATAAAAACGTTTATTTTAATTTTCCTATAATTATTGTCGTTTATTATTTTTTAGCTATAAATTTTAATATTTATTTATTTTACTTACAAATACTTATATAAATTTATTGATATTAACCTTTCGTTATTGATGTATATAATCTGTACTTTGATTTATCATTTTTTGCAACTTATTACTTTGATAAAGTTGTTTTATATTTTTTTACTTTCTTATTTACTGTAAAAATTTATTTTTTAGTGAATTAATAAGAATTTTCTGTTAGAGATATAAATTAATAGTTGTATAAGCTTCTATCTTTAAATTGTTTTATAAAAACGCTTACATGTTCCCGCCCTTAACTCAACAATTTATTTCCCGCCTTCGTATTTTTTTTTGCTTTCACATTTTATAACCGGTTGGATGGCTACACAATTTTTCCAACATCTTCCTGGTTTGCTTTTCCTGCCTTTGAAGTTTTTATATAAAAACGTTTTGCAAGTGTTGCTCTCTTGTTTTTAATTATTTGAAAGTTTAGCAGACTTGACAACTTTTTTGGATTGCCTTAATTTTTTAGTTATTTTTTGTTTGTTTACTATAATTATATATACCAGTTTTATAACGCCGTAGAGAAGCTTAATGTATCATTAATGACTATAATAAAAATATTACAAGCAGTTTATGTAGAAAAATTTAAAACATTTGAAAAATTTTGGATTTTTATTAGTTTAACTGATTTTTCTTGTGTTGATTGATTTTTTGATATTGTTTTTGTTGTTTTTATTATAATTTAAAAATTTATTATTGAATAGTTTACTTTAATTAAAAAAAATTATAAACTACTAGTTCTAAGTTTTTAATTACTATACTTTTATTAAGTTTAATGTAATTATTTTATACATTAAAGGAAGTTTTGATTATATTTCATGTATATTAATATTTTTTTTGTTACAGAAAGCAAGTATATTTGGCCGACTTACTCGATGAGAGAAGGTTTATTAGTAACAGGTAAGTTATTTCGAATATTTAAATTATTAATAATATAATTAGTTTAATAATAAAATTTATAAAATAGTGCTTTATTATAATTTTTATATAATTTTATATAAAATTTTATATTTATAAAATATTTTATACGTTATATAAGAAAAAGAATTAAGAGTAATAAATAAAGTTTAGTATGTATTTGTTAAGCAGAAAGTTTATATATAATTATTAATACGTGTGTAATATTTTTTAACTCATTTATTAGAAGTTTTAAAAATAATGTACATCTTGTCATTAATTAAAAGTTTAAATTGTTTTTATGTATAAGTTTATAAATAAAAAGAAGTAGAAGAAAATTATTATTAAAATTTTATTCTATTTATAATATTTTACGAGAAAAATATTAAAAAAGTTTTTTTTTATTAATAAGCACAAAGATTTTTTTATATGAATTATTTAAAGAAAAGTTTTATAATTTTTATTTAAAAGTTTTATAATAACTAGAAAGTATTAATTTTTTATAAATAAATACATTAAAAAAAGTTTTTTTTTTACTCTTTTTATATTAAAGTGATATTATTTTTCAAGAATAATAACAAAAACTATAATGAGTATAAGCGTAATAATTTTCATAAAAAAAGTTAATATGAAACAATTTAATACTTTTGCTATTCAGTATCTTATTAATAATTTTGCACACGCGTTTACCTATTGTATAATGATTTTTTAGGATAACTGAAATGTTTGATAATGATAACGTGCATGTAATATTATTGTTGTAAATATTTAATAGTATTTTTTTAATTGGTATATGTGGTCCAAAGGGTTTCGTGGAAATTTATGCAGTATCTGAATAAATAGTTTTAGAGTTTATAGATAAAAATTATAAAAATATTAACTATTTTTATATGAAGGGTTCTTTTTGGAGCATTTGGTTTATAAAGAATTTTGGATTTTACCAGTTTAAGGCGTTTATATATTCGTATATTACTACTAATAAAGTTATATTTTTTATATTTTCAAAGTTTTTATTAAAAAATTTATGAGCTACCATTACCGAACTTAATAAACCTTACAACGTCACTAGGAAGTATTTAGTAAAGAAAAGCTGGTGCTTTGCGAATCGGCAACGTTTACTTCATAAACTTTTATAAAGTTTGCTACGCATTTTATTTAAGAGAGTTTTACTTTATTTACGCAAATGTGACAAGTTTGCCTAATGAATGGAAGAAGATTTTAATAAGAGTCAACTTTTAAGCGGCTCTCAATTACTAGAAGGCCCTCGACTATTATAGATTTCACTAGTAGTATTCCCCGAACATGAAGGATTTTTAGGTTTTAAACATATTTTATTACGAAAAAAATGTTATTTATGTTAAATATTTACTTGTAGAGCAATAAAAAGTATATATTTTTTATTAAAAATTTAAGATATAAAAAAAAGATATTTGTGTAAAGATCAAGATAAAATATAGTATACTCAGCCAGGGCACTAGAGGGAATCTTCTCTATACCAAGAAACAGTATGGTTTTAAATTGGAAACTGACTTTAGTCATTTCTAAAAAATGGGATATATCTTTCTGAGAAATATATTATTCTTTATTTTTTAGCATTCGATGCGTGTGCCAGTAGTTACCTTCCAGTTTTATTTATGGTTACCGTTTTGCGGTGTCTTCCGAATTAGTTATAGGATTTTTTTTTTCACAATTTACATATCGTATCGTAGTTTGTGATAACCAGTTGCATTCCCGCAAGCAGTAAGTGTAATACTGTACAGTAGAAAACAATCTTTATTGTTATTTTTGTATGAAGATGATTTTTTACAATTTTGAAGAGTAGGTTGGATTATTAAAGGATGTTTTTTAGATGTTTTCCATGTTTGTGTTCGGTATGATTAGGTTTAAAGCTCTAAAGTCATTTTGGATATTGTTAATGTTATTTCTATTAATTCATAGCTATAACCTTTAAATAAGTGTTGTACGGCGAGTTATCATGTAGTGCCACTCACCGCAAAGCATTCTCGTATTTTTAAAAGGTTATTACAGCTAAATATAAGTCAGCTACAAACTTATTTTTGCTGAAAAACTAGGTTTTTTACTAATAAAAACTTTCTTCCAGTTAAAGTTTCTTAATGTATTTCAAATTAAAGCTGGTATTATTAAAGGTCAATATCGGATAGGTCCCACTGAACTAAAAATATATTGATTTCGTGTTAGTTTATATTTTATTTAGTTTTTCTCTTGCTTACATTAAGTATGGGCCTTAAGACAATTATTAGCATGTAAGATACTCCTCATCATGCCATAGTAAGCATCAACTCTAGTTTTTAAGAAAACAGTTTAATAAAAATTTTATATGACCTAAGTTAACAAAAAGAAAAAAATAAATACATATTAAATGAAAGAATATAAAAATTAGATAAAAATGAAAAATGCAAAAAAGTAATAGTAGAATAAAGCTTTGAGTTGGGTTTTACTTTAAAATCTTTGTGGTATTTAACTAAAAAAGTCAGATACGAAGAGCTCCAAAACCAAAATCACCACCAAATTATTCTATCGTGTAAAAACGAGTTTGAAGAACCAATCAAAATTAGTATCGACATCTATCAGAATCCTTTTTTGGTATAAATGTTTTATATTAGAGATGGTTATCTTTTTGTTACAGGTATCCTGAATAAACCTTAAAAGTGCAACTAAATTAATTTTTTTAACATTTCTGTGTTCTGACTAACTATATTTTATAATAAAATGAAATGTTTAGTATAGGAGCACTTTTAAATTTTGTTTCTATATACTATTGTTGGTTAAATTCGCTTTTTAATGCAATTTTTAAAACTAAATTGCGTAAACTGAAAATAACACGTCCTCATAAGTAGCTGATGTAAATTTTAACTTAATAGCTTTGCAATGAAGTTCTACTTTTTCTAGTGAGAAAATATTTACTATTAAGATTGACGTTAAATACAAAAAAAATTCTTGAAAATTAAAAAAGGTTAGAGAAGAACTAATAGTGACCGAAGCTAAAATATCAACTGCTTATTAAAAAAAGAACTTTACAATTAGTAATGTTAAAATTATTATTAAAATACATTTAACTAATTTTTGTAGGAATATTAAAAACAAGAATAGCACCTATTTTGTTTAAAAAACTATAAATTTTAAGAGTACTGGAATAAAATATTGTAGAAATATCCAGAGCAAGAATGGTCATGCTTTATTTTAAGTCTTTACAATTAAACAATTCTTTTTTGCTGAAATACGTTTATATAAAAACTTAATTAAAAACCACCAGAGCGAGTATGTCAACTGCTTTATAAAAAATCTTTACAACTAGGAAATGTAAAGGTTTACTATAATGTTATAGGCGCATAGCTCATGTTTAATGTAACTCAAAGATGGTCGGCTTACAATACGTAATCTATATAATAGGGAGAATAAGGATTCTTAATGAAAATCTAGGCATAATTTTTTCCCTTCTGAGCATACATTTTTTTCAATAACGCAAATATTTTAAAATATGGCAATCATAATGGCATCACAAGGCATAATTTTTATTAAAACTATAAATATAAAAAAATTAACTTCCTAAAAGTATAATAGTTACTGTAAGCAGTATGTAGTAAATATTTCAAAGTAGCTAAGTCAACAATGGTTGGACTAAAAACAATCAAATTTTTTTGAGGAAAATTAATTATTGTTGTAATAAATAAATATCTTAAAAATAAGTTTTAACTAATAGTAAACAATATGAATTATATGTTTAGTAATATTTTAAAATTGATAAATTTATATATTTTTTGATAAAGGTGTAATACTAAGATAGTTTTCATTAATATTAATAACGAAATTTGATAAATCTGTCAAACTTTCATTATGAATTTATATTTATATAATTAAATATTTACTTCAAAAATTTTTATTTTTTAAGGAATTATTTTTTTTAAAAACTATTAAAAAAAAGGAGCCCACATTATCAGTTATAAATAAACATAATTTGATCGTCTCGTGCTTTTTCTTCACGTGCAGGAGAGCCTAGCGTTTACTAGTTTTTTTTTTTTTAAATAAACACTTATTAATATTATATACTAAACGATAGGCTTTCGTCATGAGCCACATTGATTTAGGGCAGATCACATCTCATAACTTAAAAGTAATATAATAAAATAATTTTTTTAGATAATTATTGTAAAATTTGATAGTAAAGCTAATTTATTTTTTGCTTACTAGCAACTAAAAATATTAAATTCCGTGTTATTTCCTATAAAATATAATGATAGATTCTATGAAGATGCACTAAAAGTTGGTGAATTTGCTAAGTTTGGTATTTTTTTTTGTAAAGGCAAAATAATTTGTTATAATTTTTTTTTATTAATACTTTCAGCCTGGTATAAAAATTTAATCGTCGGTACTGTGTGTTGTCGGAAGGAGCCTAACGATAATAAAACTAAAAAAGTTTATATTATTATCATTATAAACTAATAGTTATTTATTTTTTTCTAATTTTTTTCTTGAAATTTTTTAAAGAAATTGTCAATTTTACTTTTTAATATTTTCAAAAGTTTGGAGTTATTAAATTTAAATATAAATCTTTTTAAATTTGTTTTTTTTTTTTAAAAAATTTATATTTTATATTATATTATATTACTTTATATTATACAAAGTTAAAATTAAAGAGAATTATATTTACTTTTGAGGAAATATTATATTTTTGTTGTAGATTTATATAATGACTTTGGGAGTTTTGGAAAAATATCGCGGTTTGGGAATCGGTACTTAATTTTATTTTTTTAACATAATTATTTTATTCAAAACATTTATACTTTTCCTTCTGCTACTAATTTTTTTTAGTATTTTTCTACTAACATATTTTTTAAATAACATTTTTTAATTTTTCAAGTATTCTTTTCTTGCTAATTTATACTTTTAATTTAACTTATTAATAACTTTATCATAAATATGTAAAGTTTATTATATATTATAACTTACATTAAATTTAATTACTAGAACAATTTTTTTTATTCAGGTTTACTTCTTAATATGAGTTTACGTTTTTTTAATAAATTTATAATTTTCAGTTTTATTAATTTAGAAGTTTATGTTAATACTTTACACTAAATAAAGAATTTTTTTTTATTTTTTAATAAAATTATCTATACTTTTTTAATAACTTTATTTTTAGAAACTTATATTTCTCAATCATATAAATAAATTTTATTATAATTAATTTTGTATAAGTAAATTTAGCTGCTACTTATATATTTCATATATTAGTGAATTTATTTTTTCATTGCTAAATAAATTTATCGTAAAATATGGAAACATATTAATTATAAATTATTTTACTTCATTACTATTTATAATAATTTATTATAAAAATAAAATAATAATATATAATTTTTTATAATTATATTTAATACTATTATTAGAAATAAATTCTTTAAACTTTTATTTTATAATATTAATTTTTAGTTTAAAAATAAAAAATATTAATTTACTATTAAATATTTTTATAATTTTTTTTTAATAATTAAATTTTATAGTAATTTAATTATTTTTCTTTTTAGTCGATTTTACTTAAATTTATCAAAATTATTTTTAAGTTTAAATAATAAATTATAACTGCAACTTTTTTTTTAGTAAAATTAGTTTTATTTGAAACCATTTTTAAATATAAATTAATTTTTTTTTCATTCAAGTTAATATAATAAAAATGAACTCAAGTTAACTTATAATAATATTTTTATAGAAGAAAAATTTTACTTTTTTTATAATAAAAAAGATATTTATAAAATTTTATCTAAAAAATTATAATTCATTATTTTTAAAAATTATTATTTTTAACTTTTATTATTTTGAATTACTTTATATAAATTTTGTTATTAATTGTTATTATGTAATATATCTGTAGTTACTTTACTTTTATATATTGGTATTATATTTTTCTTAACTTATTATTAATATTATTATATATTCTTTAAAGGAACTTTACTTTTGAAACACATCATAAACCTTTGCGAAAAAGATACCTCTCTAGTTGAAATTTTTCTTCATGTTCAAATTGATAATCAAGTAAAGTTTAATATGAAATATATAAAAAATTGAACAAAGTTTATTATTATTATTATAAAAGTTTTATAAATTATTAGAATTACTAGAAAAGTTGGTTACAAAGTTTTTTTATGAAAAAATTTTATACAAAAATAGGAAAGGATAGAATGAAACACCAATTAATAATGAATTTATTTATCTAATTAAAAATCTATAAAAATTAAATCTGTTTACCTTTAACGATTAAAATATATTAAAGTTACTATAAAATAGTAATTAAAAAATGCTATCAACTTTTTTTTTTTTTATTAAAAAAATAAAATCAATTTGGAAATAGCTAATTTTTTATAACGATAATTATAAATATTATAATTAAGATTTAAACTGAGTAATTGTTAATTAAATAAATTTGTAAATTACAAACATCCAAACAAAAAAATAATTAGATTCTCTGAGTATAATAAGCAAATATAATTCTAAATAAACTTTTAAGATTTACTATATAAGTTTTACGACAATTTTTTAAAAAAAATTTTTATTATAAGTTTTATAAGTATAATGTAAACTTTTAACATTTACTGTAAAAGTTGTGCTAACTTTTCTATTAAAAAATTTTTCTAATAAATTTTATAAAAATATTATAAACTTTTCAGATCTACTATAAAGTTAGCGATATTTATTACATCAAATTTTTATATTTAAAATATATTAAACATATTTATTATATTTTAAAAAAAAATTTGTTATAACTTTTTAAATTATTTTTTATTATATAAATATAAATATTTTTTTATCTATTCTAAAACTTATTTCTAATTTCTATTATTTTATTATTAAATTTTTATTATTTATTGACTGTTAAGAAAAATGTATTTATTTATTTTATTTTGTGAATACAAAAAGTTTTTATAATTTTTTTTATTACGTAAATAAAAGTAAATTTTTTTAGTATAAATTTTATTTTTGAGTTATATTAAAACGTTATTTTCTTATTTTATTTTTAATATTAAATTAAATTTTCGATAAAAGCGTTTCACTATATTTCTATAAATATAAAAAGTAATTTAAAGTTTTTAAAATATTAAAAAATTTTTAGTTTTCTTTATTTATTTATTTGTTTTAATAAAATGTAATTATTATTTTAATGTTTTTTAATTATTTATAATAAAACTTATTTTTTTATTTTATTATATTTGTTACTTTTATAAAAGTACGAATAATATATATTTTTCTATATTAATAAAACTTTCGAATGACTAAACTTATTTAACTTTTTGGAAAAAATAAAATTTTTGTTTTATTTTTCGTACGATTCATATGTTTCGATAGCAATTTTTTTGTAGCTTTTTTTTATATTAAACTTTAAAAAAAACTTATTTTTGTTATAAACTTGTAAAAAAGTTTTTTTTATCTTTTTTAGTTAAAAAAATTATTTTACAATTTATGTTGAGTAATTCATTGAAAAAATTTATTATTTTTTTTGATGGGCATTTATCAGGTCTATCTTTTTTCTTACGAAATTTTTGTTAACTGAAATTCAAGTGGTTTAATTCTTTACAAAAATTTGATTCAATATGGTTTTTTTTTTGCAACGTTATATAAACGGAGCAATTTGTATTCGTTTAAAATTTTGGTATTAAATATTAAAGCTACCAAGAAAAGTGTTTAATAGTCACATTAAGTCTTTTCAGTGTTTTATTGCTGCAAATTAAGGGTCATTTACAGACTATAATTGTCATTATTTCGGGGCCATTTTCTTTATTTGTTACAAATTAAATCAGTTGCGTCTTAATTAAGATACGTTTTTTTTGCATCGCTTCGTGTTTATCTGGAACGATATAGACGTAACTGCTGCAGATTTTACTATTGCGTGACAACAAGCTGTTAATATTATGGACCAAATTATATTTTATTACGAGCAATATAGACTGTAATTGCGGCGGATTACAGCTGCATGCTGCTGCATGGCATTTAAGAATTATAGATAAACTTTACTTTTATTAGTAAAATGAAAGAACGTTTTTTCCATAAAAAGTAGTAATGATGATATATATTACTTTTAGTAATTTTATTAAAAGTAATATAAATTTATATTTTATTTAAATTTTTTTATTTATTATAAAAGTTATAATACTTTTATTATAATATATAAAAGTGGAATATTTATATATAAATTATATTATTAAATTTTCAAAAAAATTTATCATGTATAAAAATAAAAGTATTATTGATTATTTCTATTGATTTTAACTTTAATAAGTAAAAGTTATAGTTCATACGAAATTTATATTATTTTTTTAAAAAAATTAATAATTTTTATTGTTTAACAAGAAATTTTATTGTATGCAAAAAGTAATAATTTTCAATACTTTTAATAAATTTACATTTAATAATAAAAGGTTGTCATATTTTATAAAAATATTATGAATTATTATACAAGCAAATAAGTTTTAATATTTAAATAAAAATCAATTTTTTAATTAAATTATTGTTTAATTACTTTTTAATATAAATAAAATTTTTAGTACTTCCAAAAAATGTTTATATTATTTTCATTTTTATTAATATCATAGAAAATTTATATTTTGCTATATTAACTTTATTTATATATTTAAATAGTTCTAGTGTTCCTATAAATTTATATTTTTTAATTTTTCTTTTTATAAAAAATATTTATTCTGCAGTATTATATTATGTATATATAAATAGTTAGTATTTCAAAATATTTATATTTTTTATTTTTTCCAAGAAATATTTATTTTACTATATAATTTTTATTTATTTAGTAAATAATTAAAGTTGTCGTACTTAAAAAATGTTTATATTGCTTTATATATATTAATATTTATATAAAAAAAGTTTTAGTATTTATAAAAAATATATATTTATATATTTTGCTTTATTATTTTCATTAATATTTTTCCTAAATCTTCTTAAAAAACATATTTTTCTATATTTTTATTTTATTGTTTTTGAAAAATATTATTTCTTTTAATATTTACTTTTTACAAAAGTTGTTATATTTATAATTTTTATTGGAATAATAACTTTTTTAATATTTTTTATGAAATATCCTAAGTTCTTTATATTTTTTAACTAAATTCGTTATAAATATTTATTACTTTTATTGGTATTATATACTTTTTATTATTTATTTTTCCATAACGGTAATATAGAAAAAACATTTATATTATGTGTTTATATATATTTTTTTTATTAATTTTTATTTACTTTTTTATATTTTTTAATAATAGAAATAATTATTTTTAAATGTTTATTAATATTTTATGAGAAGATATATTTTTTTATAGTGTATAATATTGTTAATATAATACTTTTATTGATATTTACTAATTATTACTTTTATAAATAGTTTTAAATAAAAGTGTGTATTAATTATAATTATATAATACCTTTAATAAATTATTTACTATTAATTATTTATAACAAAAGTAATATTTGTAATATTAACTTTTATAATATTTATTAAATGGGAGTGTATATTAAATTTCTTAATATTATTTACTTTTACTTTTTTTTAATTATAATATTATTATTATAACTTTTTAATATTTTTTTATCGTGTTTAAAATTTATTATTTTTATATATATATATTTATTTACTTTTGATTTTTTTTAAATAATAATAATATAACTATTATAAAAATTTTTTAATAGTGTTTAAAATTTTAATATTGCTTTCATGTATTAATACTTCTGATAATTATTATTAATTAATAGTAAATTTAACTTATTTTTTTAGTAATAATATATTTTATTTATATTATTATTTTTTAAAAAGTGTTTATATTTTTATTATTATTACAAATGCAGGAAGCGCTTAACTTTTACAAAAAATTTTCTTTTCAGCAAGTGGAGCTTGTGAAAAAGTACTTTACTTATTATTATTATTATTATTACTCTTTATTTATCGAAGCTTATTATATTTAGCGGATTATTTTTTTTTTTTATGTTTAATGACTTATTACTTTACTTTATATATTTTTAGCGATTATTACATTGACTTGTAATAGTTTTCTATTTAAGCTTTATTTAATTTACTTATTATTATGTTTAACTTTAATTAAGAAAATTTTTTAAATTATTATAATTATTTTTAAATAATAAAATATATATTTAGTTGATTATTATTACTTTATCATTTATTGACTATAATCATTTTTACTTGTAATAATTTTTTATTGAAGGTTTTTTTTATTATACCTATTATTATTATAGACAACTCCACCTAAATTTATTATTATTACTTTTTATTCAAGTCCGTAGAATTTTTATACATTTTATTATTACGCTTATTTTATTTTATTATTATTTTATAAACTTACAAACTACTTATATTTATTATTTTTAATTAAAATTTAATAGTTATTATGTAAATATGCCAACGAGCGACGCCTATTTGCTTTCGCTTCCTCTTCATAACCAATCAAAATCTGGAAAAATTTCATAACAACAATAATCTACTAGATAAAGTTTTCATGCGGAAATTTTATTATAAAGAGAATTAAAAAGTTGTACAATAAAATAAATAATTTTTTATATAATAAAATAATTATTATTATTATAATAATAATAGTTTAACTTAATAAAAAATTTTATTTCTACTGTAATATACATTATTGCAAATAAACCAACATTTCTCATTGCCATCTTTATTTCATCATTTTTATAAAACTAATTCTGCTTGGAAAATAAATCCAACTTCACACCAGTTTCTTTAAATGTATCAATCCAAGCCTAATTTGAAGCAAGTTAAAGCTTTTTGGGCATTAAATAGTTCTTAAAAAAACGACCTGTTCTTCCTGGTGGGTTGCGTACTCCCAACAAATGGGGCCTCTTGAGTCAGTAGGGTGCAATGTGAACCTAAATCTACCAAATTATATTAGAAATTATTAAAGGAGACCAGATAAGCAGAGCCATTTACCGCGACTTATTCGGGTTATCCAATGAAATTTTTAATAACTTTAGCGGTTTCTTTTTTGGTGTGACCGTCAAAACCCCTAATAATAAAGGAAAGAAAAATATATGGATGTTCTGGAGATTTTAGTATTTTTTTTTTTAGGCTTAAATTTTAAATCCATTTTACATTAAATTAGAGATTGGAAATTATTAATAAACTTTTGATAATTTTGTTATTATTACTATTATTATTGTTACCATCGTTCAGATGTATTCGGGAAGATTTAGTTACAGGAAGTTGACGGCTGGAATAAGCCAATGAAAGCTTCATGGTCTTTTTTAAATATAATAATAATAATAATAATAAGTAAACAAAATTATATATAATCTTTTTGATCCTAAGTATATAAACCGGCCCGAAATAACCTTCAACCTGCCGGCTTTGTATACTTACTAAGACGCAGTTTATAATAATATGGACCGCTTTTGACTTAAATGGACCCAATATAGATATAATTTGCTTTGTGATAGATAAAGTGTTCATACTTTACTTTTCGGTTCGTACAAAACATTCCTTTCGGTAAATTTACTTATTAGAGTTCTTCTATTTATAAATAAATAATAATAGTAATAATAAATAAATAAATAAATTTCTAACGTATTTTTATTTTTTAAATATTTTTTATCAGTTTATATAATCATATAAAAAATAACGATAATTATAAAAATATTTAAGAATTCAAAATATTTTTTAATATATTTTTTTATTTTTTTTTTTTACTTTTTTTTAATATTATAAAATAAAATTAATAAAAGTTGTAAAAAAAATAATTATTTTATTAAATTTTTTTATAAATAAATTTTTTTTTTGAAGTATATTCTCTTATTATTTATATTTTTTTTATTTTTCGATAATATTTTATTATTTTTTATTTATTATCGATATACTATATCTTCTTATTATATTTACTTTCTATAAATTTCCTATTTATTTTTTTTTAATATTTTCTAATAATAATGAATAAAACTAATAAAAGTTGTAGAAATAAGATATAATTAATATCATTTTTATAATAAATATTTTATTTGAATAATTTATAAGTTTTTCAGTTTTTTTTTATTTTTGTTAATATTTTTTAATATTTTTAATATTTAAATAATAATAATAAAAGTTATAAAAATAAAAAATAATAGTACACAATTTTTTTAAAGTATCCTTATAAGTTTGAATATATTTAATAAATATGTTCAATATATATTTTTAACCTTTAATATATTTTAATATATAAATAATAATTATAAGGAATTATTTTCTATTAACTATTTTATAATTTATTTTAATAATAAAAATATATTTTACTGAATTATAATAATTAATAAAATATTATTCTTATTATAATCATTTTAAATATTTATTTGAGGATACTTAAAAGTATAATAATAGTGATTTATTTTTTTGTTAAATAATATTAATTTTTTTAAGAAATAAAGAATTTATTATTCAATGATGTAAAAATAATAAAGAAATTATAATAATAATAAATAAATTTAAACACTCAGATTATACAATTCTTATAAATAATATAAAGAAATAGTAAAAAAATATTTATTAAAGTAAATTATGAATAAATAATAATAAATATATTATTTTTTTTTAAACGTTTTAAATATTTGTTAACTGTTTAAATCAAAATCCTAGTAAATAATAATAATAATAATAATAATAATAATAATAATAATAATAATAATAATAATAATAATAATATATACTGAAGTAAATTGTTTTGTCTCTTTAAAAATAGCATTCCCGAATAAGAATGGCGTATTTCAGCAACTTTTTCTTCAAAAACGTCTTTTTTAAACTTTAGAAACTTTTCGCAGTTTCTATAAAAGTATAAAAGTACTTAAAACTTTTATTAAAACTATAATAAACACTTAAAAAAATATACAAAAAGTAGAATGAAGCATAAATAATAAAATTAAATATATAAAACTTCGCTAACTTTTTTTAAAGCATTTGGCACTAAAGAAAGTAAAGCAAAAATATAAAAAACTTTTATTAAAACTATTATTATTATTATTACTATTTTATTATTATTTTTATTACTTTTAGCAAATAAAAAAATATATAAAAAGTAAAACATCCACTTTATAGAAATAATATATAAAAACTTTAATGTCTACTTTAAATATTTTTTAAATTTTATATTGTTTTCGCAAACTTTTCTGAATTCATCTTTTGATAATTCGCCAGACTTATCAACATCTGCTTCTTCAAACTCCGTAAGAAGCCATTCCTTCAGTATATAGTAATAATAATAATAATAATAATAATAATAATAATAATAATAATAATAATAATAATAATAATAATAATAATAATAATAATAATAATTTAGAAAAAAAATAAAAAAAGGAAGGGTAAGTTATATAAATTATATTACAATAGTAATATAAGTGTAATAATCATAATAAACGCAACAAAAAGAACATTGATGTCATTAAAATAAGAAACAGCCAATAATAATGATAAGGCCATAAAATATTTTATACCCAAAAAAACCAATTATTTATTATAATAAAGTAGCCAATAACCTTTAATATATTAAATATTGAGCCAATAGAATGAAAGTAAAATTATTGACTTGTCAATACTCTTATAGAAAAAACCAATAGCGCTCTATTAGAGACAAGTTATACGAACTAACGCATTTGAATAAGAAGTATAAGTAAAAATATATTATAAAATAGTAAATAATAATTAATAAATATGAAAAACAGTTATATAATTATAATAATAATAGGAAAGAAGCATTTCTGGAATAATGATAAGTAAATATATATTGTGTAATAATATCATAAAAACCCTTCCTTAAATATAATTGGGTTATAAATAATTAGATAAACCAATAATATAACGCGTTGCTGTAATTAACAATTATACGGTAACCAGTAAAAGCATAAATAGTAGAGTAAATGTAACGATAACCATAAGGACCACTTAAAAAATGAATATTATTCCAGTAATAAAAAGTAACCTATGAACTATAAAATAAATAAGCCACCACAAAGGAGGTGATAATGAGGAAAACTCGCAAGCAATATTAAGTATACGACCAACAGAAGTACAGTAATATACGATATTTAAATAATTATAAAATATAAATACACCAATAATATATTAAATAATAAGGCGAATAAGATTTTCTTATTTAAATATAAACAATTTTGATAAAATAAAAAAAAAATAGTGCTATAATGGCATCGCCAGAAATAAAAATAATGCACAAATAATACGTTGAATAGATCACCTAAAAAAAATTTAAATAATGAGCCACAAAATAAGAGCAGAAGTAAAATAACTAATAAATAATTGTCTTGTGATTTATTAATAAAATAAATAAATTTGTTATTAAATATATATAAAACTATAATTGAAAAACTTTTGTTACTCAAAAATTTTATTTTCATAAAATAAACTGATCCAATAATGTAAGAGATAAAATGCACCAATAATATAATCACTTTATATTTAATAAAAAAAATTATATAATTTGGCCATTTATATTTAAAATAAATAAGAATTATATATATAAATTATGCTTTACACTTTAAAAAAAATGTGTAACGAAAATAAATTTTATGCAATATAAAAAAATGCCTATAAAATAGTAAGAAAAGACGAATAATATTCAGATAATATATTATTATAATAATAGTAAATATTACTTTCGAAGGGACTTCATCCGTTTGCGAGAGAATTCCTATAAAAATAAAATATGCATAATATCAATACTTATAAGAATTATATTAACCTCTAACGCATTCGCAAAATTCATATTTACTGATTCCTCCGTTTTTATTTATATCGAAAATATCTTTATATTATTAACAGAAAATAAAAAAAGCAATACTTGTAATAATGTAAATATTAAATAAAAATAAAATTTATAAATAATAATAATAACCAAAAGCAAAGTCATAAAGTTCGTGAGAGTCGCAGTTTTGAAGTTTTGAGCCGAGAGATAAGCAAAAGTCTTGAATATTTATTCTGTAATAATAAATATATCAAACAATTCAAGTTTACATATAATAATTTTTTAAATAATATATATTAAAAAATTTATATATATAAAATTTATTATGATATATTAATTACAAAATTATTAATAATAATAATATAACTGAAGAGTGTTTCCATTTGCAAACAACTTAAAAAGTTTCTTTGGAATCTGCATATCACGAATTTCCAGTTTTTCAAAGGCCTGTAAAAATTTCTCGCGAGAAACAAATTTTTCATTCTAATATAATAATAATAATAATATAATAATAATAATAATAATAATAATAATAATAATAATAATAATAATAATAATAATAATAATAATAATAATAGTTACTTCCGAATATTGTGTGAGATTATCATATAAAAGTCTCAAATCGTCGAAAGTAAATGATTCATTAATGGTTAACTTAACAAAGCACGCTTCTGCTTTTATTGCTATTAAAAGAAAGTGCATTCGATTGCGCGCAATCACGCCATTGATGCACTAATAAATAATAATAATATTAATAATAAACATAATAAATATAATAATAGTAATAATAATAACAATAATAATAATAATAATAGTAATAATAATAATAAAACAGTACCATTCTTAATTTTCTTCTAGCATTGAACTTCCTTAAAGCAGCAACGGCCCCCTCAATTTCACAGGTTTTCGCTGTTTTTCCTTCGCCCAATCATAATGAAAAAAAAGCAGCCAATAAACGCATTTATAAATAATACAACGCAGTTTTAGCAATTTCTTCCAAGAAATCAATACTTAATTTATAATATTATTGTTGTTGTTAAAATTTATAGTAAAATAATTATGCTAATTTTTTTTATATAATAAATTATTAAAATTTTTAAAACATATATATATATATATATGTATTTATAGTACCTGAAGTGCACCAGTTTAAAAAATTATTACTTTTATTATATTTATATGAGATTTATAAAAAATTTTATAATTTTTTTATAACTATATTAATTATTAAATAAAAAAATAAATCTCTTTTCTGTACCAGTAAGCCAAGGATGGTTCAGAAGTTCTTGCGCAGATGGTCGTTCTTCAGGATTCTAAAAGTTCGTATATTGATAGAAAAATTATTATATTTTAATATTTATTTTTAGTTTAGTATAAATAAAAAGTTTAGTGCAATATTGAAACAGAATAAAAGTTTTTATAATAAATATCGATTGGATATATAATAATAATAGTAAAAGTTTTATATAATTAAAATAGATAAAAATTATTGTATACTAATGGTGAATATTAGTTAGATATAAAGAAACGTCTAGCGGTATAGAAATTATAATAAAAGATAATAATAGAATATTAAAATAGTAAACAAAATTTAAATATAATAATAACAGTAATAAAAAAAATTATTTATAGCAAAATAAAATAATTAAAAAAAATATATATTAATCATAAATATTAGTTTAGTATAATTATGATTATAATAATAATAAACTAGCAAGAAAAAAAAAGTTAACATAAATATCAGTTTAGTATAAATAAATATTAGAAAAGTATAGAAGATTTATAATAATTATAATAAAAAATAAAAAAACATAAACTTTAGCGAGCATGCAGTTCATAAGAGCGATGCAATCTTTAGAGATATTTTTCATGCGTTCGTTCTAAATAATAATAATAATAATAATAATAATAATAATAATAATAATAATAATAATAATAATAATAATAATGATAATGATAGTAATGATGAACTATTATTGGATAGTGAAGGCTTTCTGTTTTCTCTCGAATGGCGTACACGTTTTCACCAAAAAAAGGAAAACTTCCTAAAAATATTGGTTACACATAAAAAGATAATAAAAAAAAATACGAGTTCATTGGCTGATAAAATAATAAACAAATAATTTTTGTATTTTATAAATATTTTTTAAAAGTTTACTATAAAAAAATAATATTTTTATATATTTAATAATATTATAAAAACTACTATCATCGGGAAAAAAATAATATTTATAGAAAAACTGAATAATTATTTTTATTTCATGAACATTATTAAAAAAACGTTGAAAATAAAATATTTTTTTAATAATAATAATAGTTTATATATTTTCCTTAATTATAATAAAGTTTTACAATAAAAAAATATTTTACTATAATCACTATGTAAATAATAATAAATATCTTTTATATTGATGTCGGCCAATTATAAATTAAGAAAAAATCGACTGTCCAATTAAATTGGATTATAATAACCGCATTATCGGATTGGATAAAAATTATATGATAATAAAATATTTGCTACAAAAGTTAATATGCTAAACACAAAATATAGTAGAAAACCAAAAGGTATATTATATTACTTTATAAAAAATAGTATTTAATAGAAAATATAATAAAGGATATAATAATGGGAAAAAAATAAAGTTATAAAATTATTATAATAATTAATACGCTGAACGCACAAAAATAATAATATTAATTATAAATATAAATAATTATTATAATAAAAGATATAAATAAAATAAATAATAATAATAAATATAAATAATTATCATAATAAAAAATGTAATAAAATAATTAATATAAATAATAATTATTATTATAAAATATTGGTATAACCAGCAATCAAAATATACAAAAGAACGCCTGAAGACCAAATATCAGACTTTTCATTATAATTCGCGCCGCGAAGGCGTTCGGGAGACATATACTCCGGCGTTCCTGTAGAGAATAATAGTAATAATAATAATATATTAAAGAAATAATTAAATTTCTTTTTTATAATAATAATAAATAAAAATTATAAGTACAATAATAAAAAATATAATAATGACAAAAAATAATAACATTAAGTATAACAATAATATTTCTTCGAAAAAAAAGAGTTTATTTTTTATAATTGTAATAAATAATAAAAATAAGTGTAATTATGAAAAAATATAATAAAAACAAAAAATAATGACAAGTATAATAATAATTAAAAATTATACTAAAAGAAAAATAATTGTAAGTATAATCAATATTATTAATAAAAAATAAATAATATTAAGGCACTAATTAGAAAATAATGAATTAAATAATTTTTAATAACTATAAAAATACATGAAAAAGAATAATATAAAAAATTATATAAAGTTTAATAAATAATATAAAAAATTATATAAAGTTTAATAAATAATATAAAAATATATATAATAAGTATAAACAACAGTAATCATGTATCCATATAATGGTAATAAATATATCAAAAAAAATAATCATAATGAATATAATAAAATTAATGTACAATTCAAATAAAATTAAAATAAAAAGTTTTTTCTAAAATATAATAAAAAAATATGTAAAAGTATAATACTATTAAGAATTTTTTTTAATATAGTAAATAATTATAACTATAATAATAATAAAATATATATATATATGAAAAACATTAAAAAAAAAGGGATTTTTAATAATAATAATAATAAATAAATAGAAGTTTCATATTTCTATAATTTTTTATAAAAAATATTAACATAGTTTTCTTTAATAATAATAATAATAATAATAATAATAATAATAATAATAATAATATTAATATTAATACCGCAGGTTTCTGCAAGTGTGCCATTTTCTGTAAGAATGGCAGCCATCCCAAAATCGCATAATTTGATTGGATTAGTTTTTAAAGCACCCGGCTGATTGGTGTAAAAAGTTTGTTTTATAATTATTAAAATATTATAATATATTTATATACTACTAATAATAGTGATAGTAGTAAATTTCTAAATATAATAAATTCATAACATAATAAGAGTTGTAATAAAATTTAATATTAATAATGTTAGCAATAAAATAATGATATGTTTTAAAAATTTATATATATTTCTGTCATAAATATATAATAATAGTAGCAAAAGTAAATTATAATTAATAATAATTGTAATAAATTTCTATATAATATAATTTATATATAATAATAGTAGTAGCAGTTAAAAATTTATATACAATAACAATAATTGTAGTAAATTTCTATATAATATAGTAAAAAATATACAATAATAATATTAGTAGCAGATAGAATATAATATATTAATAACAAATATGATAAATCTCTATATAATATAATAAATAAATAATAATAATGATAATAGTAGCAGAAATAAATTTATATATAATATATTAATAAATAAATTTCTATAATACAATAAATATATAATAATAATAATAGTAGTAAAAATATATTTATATGTAATAAAATATTAATAATAAAAATAGCAGCAAAAGTAAATTTATAATAAGATAAAGTCATAAATTTATATAGAAACTAACTTCTCCCATTCGAGCATCATCGTTAACTAAAATATTATCAGGTTTTATATCGCGATGAATAACTTTTAATAATAATAATTTATTAATATTAAAGTTTTTATATAATAAAATATATAAATAAAGGAACACGAAGACGTATAAATATTTTGTGTTCAATATTAATTATTAGGAATAGTATTAGTAAAATATACTAAAAGTTTGTATATATAAAATAATAATTATAACAAAAAAAAAAATTAAACTGACCGTTTTTCTTGTGGCAATGCGCAATCGCTAATAAATGATATTAATAAAAGTTTTTATTATATTTTCTTAGTAAACCTTTTATAACTTGATACATAACAATAGCAATTTCTGCTTCGGAGTAGATCCCTCCCTGAAAAAGTTATGCAATAGTAAAAAAAAAAAGATTCTAAATATATAATAAAGTAAAAAGAAAGAAAACTATATAAAATATAATATACGTATAAAAAGTACATTTTCAAAGTGCTTTAATAATATTCCAAGCAATTCACCATCTTTTTTAAATAAATATCAATGCGATATTTTAATAAACTATTAAAAGTTTTTTAAATATATAAAAAGTTTTACTAAAACTAAATAATAAAATTATTAATATATATAAAAATTTAACTATAAACTGTTTAACTAAAAGCTAAATAATAACAATTCATTAGTAAGTTTTTTTATAATATAAAAGAGGTTAACTAAAAACTCCACAATAATAAATTTATAAATATTTTCAAATTCAATAAAATTTTACGTTAAATTTAAATTTTCTTATAAAAAAAAATTAAAATTTTGTATCGTTTCAGAATTACATTATTTATATTACTAAAAACTTTAAAAAAATGTATATTTAATCATTATATTCTTAATTATTTTTTTTAATATATAAATTATTTTAATTCTACTATTTTCTTTAAAAGTTTATATTATTTTTCCGGTTTTCCTTGAAATTTTTAAAGATTATTTTTAAATATAGTTTAACTAAAAAGTATACAAATAGTAAAAAAATAATCGGTTCCTTGGCGCCCCCAAATGCAGTTAAGCTTATTAGCAACCAAAAAGTATCACGTGCTGCGGTTTTATAATTATTTAATTTGATTTATAAAAACTTTTATAATATATTAAATTGGCTTTTTTAAAAAAAGGCAACACAAAATCATTAATAAAAAAATTTTGATACAAGTTTTACATTAAAAATAATAAATTAAATTTTTAGGTAAATTTTTACTTTTATAATTATAAATTTTTTATTATTATTTTATAAAAAAAACTACACTATAAATATTATATAAAAAATTGGTTAGAAAAGTATTTACATAAAAAAATAATCAATTAATATTATTATATACTTTTATAATTAAAATTTTTTATTGTTTCTCAGAAAAAATGCAACGCTATAAAAAAGTGACTACCAAAAAAATAATAAGTTAATTATTTTAGCAAATTTAACTTTTATACTTATAAAAAAACCTGTTTTTAATTTCTCATAATAATGCAACACTCTAAATAATTAATAAGATTTTTTCATTTAACTATATGTTTACCAAAAAATGTTAAATTAATTTTTTAGCAGATTTTACTTTTATAACTAAATAATTTTTTTTAATTGTTTTGCATAAAAAATGCAACAATATAAAAATTTATTAAAAAGACCAATTAAAAGTAGTTACAAAAAAAATAATGAAAATTTTTCTATAGAAAATTTTCGCTTTTATAACTATAAATTTTTTTTATTGTTTCCTAAAAAATGCAATACTATAACAATATATATGTAGGGAAATACTTAACAAAAAAAAATAATTCTCTTTTTATAATAAAACAATTTTTTAGAGCTCCTCATTAATAACGCAACATTATAGTAAAAAATAATTTAAATGATATAAAATTTACTAAAAAACAATAGTTTTTTTTTTAGCAAATTTTACTTTTATAATTAAATCAATTTTTTTTATCGTTTCTCATTAAAAGACCAACACTATAAATAATTTAATATTAATCGTTTTATAAATATTTCCAAAAAACATAATGTGAAATTTATTTTTTGCATAATTTTACTCTTTTTGATAGTAATATTTTTTTTTATTTTTCATTAAAAATACAACACTATAAATAACCAATAAATATCATTCAATTTGAAAAGTAAATACAAAAAAAATTATGATTTATTTTTTTTTGGATTTTTTACTTTTTAATGAACTAAATTTTTCCTCATAAAAAAACAATACTATAAATAATCAACGAGAAACAATGAAATAATTTTTTTCATTAAAATTTTTACTTTTATAAGTAAAAAAAATCAGTTTTTATTGTATTTCATAAAAAATGCAACACTATAAATAATTCAATTCCAATTAAGAATTCAGTAAAAAAAATGACTATCTATCCACCAATGAGAAGTTTTATTTATTTATAATATAAATCCAACCTTTTACATACTCCATAACAATGACGTAATATTCCTTGAAATCGTAAAGTCCGTAAGCGCGATTAATATTTTCTATAAATTTATTATAATAAAAATAATTTTTTTTATTATAAAAAATATATAGATAAAACTTTAATAAATTTTGTTTCAACGTTAATTTTTTAATAAATGAGGAATTATTGATTTTTTTAATAAATTTACTTAATAAATATATTATATAATTTTTCTCAATAAAAATAAACTTAATAAATTTAATATTATAAATCTTTTTTAAATATATAAATATAATTAATAATTATGGAAAAATTATTATTGGAAAATAAAATTTAAAAAAAAATCAATAAGTGTAGTGGATAAAAAAATTTATAAATTAAATTGAGAAATTATTTAATATTAAAAAAAATTAAAAAACTTAGTGAAAATAAAAAATTTATATATAATTCCCAGTAACTTAAGATATATACTTAAATACAAATAGAGAAAAACTAAAACTTTAGTGAAACTTAAGTATGAAGTTTTAATTAATCTTAATAAATATTTATAGTATACTTAAAATTTAATAAAAAATTTAATATAAGGAAATTAGATTATTTATTATTATAACAAAACTTTTATAATAGTAAAATTAAAAAAAAATAAAATTTCAATTTATAACAATTAAGTTATAATAATTACAACGCCTTTTAAAATTAGGAGAAATTTATATTAACTAATAATTTATTAAACAAAGGTAGTATAAGATATTATATAAATTTACTTTTATAAATTCAAAACATTTATAAAAAAGAATTTGTTTACCAAGGAATTGTATAAATAATATTTTTTTCTTAATTTTTATAATATATTATAAAATTAAAATTACATTTCTATCGTACTTGAAAAGAAACTAACTTTTTTTTTGAAAAATAATAATTTTTGAAAGTGTTTGTGTTAACAAAAGAGAATAATAATATTTTTTTAATATTTATAAATTATCAAAATTGTTAATCACAACTGTATAATTTGTATAAATTTAATAAAAAAATTATTATAATTATAATTCAATATATTTAATAATAATATATAAAGAAACATTTTATAATTAATTCTAAATATAAACGTTATAATGTCTTTTTAAAATTTTTTAGATAAATTTTTTGAAAAAAAGTTACCATGATTACCCAGAGCACGAAGAAGTTGAACTTCAGAAAAAAGATTCATACCTAACCACAATTAAATTATTATATATTATAATAATATTCAAATTGTATACGGCTGAATAAACCATAATATGCCTTTTCTTTAAAGATCATTTTCAAAGCCACCTAAAATCAAAGTCAGTTTTTTTTCTATAATTGAATGAAATTATTAATTTACCTTCTCACCCGTTCTCTTATCAAAACCCAAACGAACAATACTATAACCGCCGCTTCCAATTACTTTATCAAAAAAGTAATCGTCAGTGAGATTGGTTTTCGATATGAATCTCTTATACACAAGTAATATTTAAATATGAAAATAAAATTTATCTATAAAGAATACCTCAAGATTACCAGGACTTAAAGAGTACGTCATTTTTAACAATTAACGAAAAGGCTAATAAATATAATTTTTTTTTAAGCTTTTAAAGGGGTCATAATTAATATATAAAAGTTGTCTTATAAAAAAAACTCTTTCAACGTTTGAAATTTTTAATAACAAAAACCGATATAATGATCTATTCTCCACGTGATTGGGCCCTGCTTTTCATATTGCTTTAACAGAAAAAGTGTTTAACAATTTAAAATTATAAAATGATGTTCTTTTATGCTAATATTTAAAATTTTTATCATTAGTCTGTAATATTCCTTTCTTTTTGTCGTAATTTTTTTTTTCATATCATTAAAAAATGCGGAGGTCAAATTGAGTTATTTAAAGGAAATTACTACAAAAAAAACTTTAATCGAAATCGTTTATTTACTATATATTCAAGTATTATTTAAAAGTAGGTTTAGAAATATTTAAATTAATGTTCTAACTTTTAGTGAGTTTAACGTACTCGTACTCATTTTTAGTATGTAAAAATATAAATGACAATGTTTAAAAGTTATTAAGTAATTTCATACCCGATTTACAACTTAGATTTGTTCGCTGGGAAAAGCAGGAGTTAGAAAAGTTTGTGCAGAAGCATTATATAAAGTTCGAAGAATCTTTATCTTGTTACATAGTCGCTCTGATATAAGAGTTTGACCAATAAAGAGAAAAGGTATATCTTCAACTTTTAACGAACTTTGTTTATTTGTTCCCTATTTATAGTTTCACTGCTAAAAAATTAAAATATTTTGACTACAATCAAAACTTGCTGTTTCACTTGTTTTAGACTTTCAAATAATAACTAGTCTATGATGAACGTTATTTAGCAAGATTAATGGCGTAAAATTTTTTATGAGGCTAAATATAAATAGTGAGAGGAAAAAAGGGATTGCTTTTTTTCATTGCCGGCCTATATATATCGTTATTTGCAAAAAGTTTATAAAGCACGCAAACGCCGTTTTAGAAATGGGAGTATATAGTATATTTACTTAGAGACTAATCAGTGGTATTTTGAAAACCGTTGTGAATATAGTGCGTGAAGTAGTTGTTCTTCGTTATACCAAAAAGTATACAAGTTTCTCTGGTATAGATCCAGATGTTGAGCGCCCTAAAAGCAGAATAAGAAATTAAGGTTTTTTTTTATTGTTTTTTTTCTTTTTTACTATCAAATGAACTATTTTCATTATTAGTTCGATCACTGTCCCCATTTCAAGAACATTTAGTTAATTAAGAAATCGTACTGTACTCAAAAGATTGCCATTGGCTAATATATAAAAGAAAAATTAAAAGAACGTAAAAATTTTTAGAAAATAATTTCCTCTTAATGACTACAAGCTCTTTTCATCCTCTGGCTTAACATTACAAATGGGTTAGTTAAAAGAAAATTGATTAAAAGTTTTAAAGATAGCCATTTTCACTTCGAAAATTTAAATGTATATTTTTTTATAAAATTTTCCCTTCATCTATTACTCATTGCCGAAATTGATTATTATACGCAAGTTTTAAAATTGTTATTAACAAACAAAAATAGATATAACATTAAAAAAAACTTTGAATGGTATTACACCACATCATGCCGGAAATAACATCCTGTATATACGTTGTAGCTAGTAAAATTAAAAATAGTAATACAACTACTAAATAAACTATTTTTTTTAAAATGACCTAGTTAACTTGTAATATGGGAGATTAATAAAAAATAAATAAAACAATTTAAAAAAAAAAAACAACAAAATGTTGCACAACTGATTATAATAAATCTTGTTTTTATGTAGTTAGTTACCCAATAAATTTTTGTTAAGAGGTGTATATATAAGATATATATAGGTAATATATATAAGGAATTAATAATAAACGAATTTTTAGTAAGAGCGGAAAATTATGCTTTTTTTCTTTGACCTATGAGTTTAGAGTAAGTTCAAGAAGATAATTAAATTAATGAAAATAGCGAAAAATTATAAATTTGTAAAAAGAGCTTATAATTATTAGCAATTAGAAGATAAGACATTGTCATAGCCGGTGGTCCAGCACTATTATGTCTTGCTTAAAGAAATAATTGCTTTCTATTATCTATCTCGCCTTCTCTTCCACGTGACTTTAAAATTTTATCATGTGTGGGATATGAGCGCAAGCAGGTCCAATATAAAGACGTATATCGTTACCAACTTGGAAGCGTGTGTGAAGAGGTATACTTTTAAACTTTAGATTTTACTTCAAAGATTTAATTAATTTGCGTGCATACTTTAAAATGTTTAATACCTTCGATTAAGAAAGTTTATAAGTCTCCTCATAGTTGGATTGGCTTCAAATAAATCTAAATTCGTTTATCAGTCATTATAGATTTTTTCTGTTATGGTTTGCTTGGAAAAATTTATGTTAGCTAGTCTTCGTTTATATACTAATAATGATTTTGCTGCGATGTTCTCGTATAATCTATATAACTAAGTACAATTATTTTTGCTCGGAAAATTATGTGTTCAAACGTGTATTAATCTAATAGCGCTTTTGTAATGTTGCTTTTGTTTATGTACTAGGTGTTTTCTTAATAGATAGGCACAAGGCTGGGTGATATAACCCTTACATTAGATCAATGTAAGTGAAAAGATCTGAGCAAATCGGAAATGATGTGCAAGGGGGGCGATCAATATAATACCTCTGTTTCAAAGCTCAAAAGACAACCGCACATGATTGAAAATTCTGCATAGGCTATAAATTCTGCAACACCTAATACTGAATATCCCAGAAATAGTAAAATATTTAAATGGTTTAAATTAAAAAATATACTCTTAACAACGAAGCAGTAAAAGATCTATTAATTGGTGGTGCATCGAATAAGAAATAAGACATTGACATATCAACAAAAAAAGGGCGAACTTCAAAAAGAAATACACACAATATTTTAATATATATGTTCTAGATCTGGCACATCTACGAGGCCGCTCTCATTTCAAAAATGAATCTCGATAACTGCTTAGTCGAAAACTAATTTTGATATAGAGCTATAATAGACTAAAAGCAACCAAATCTCAAAATAATGTGTGATTGAGAATATTTCCAAACATTTTTTAATTTTTTCCGAATAATTCATAAATTTTGTGAATAAAAGCGATACAAATTTAAAATAAAGTCACCTCATTCTTTATTTTTTTCTGTTTCATTCTCTTGAGTTTTATGAATAAAGAATGTTCAGGGAAGACTAAAATTGAATACGTTATGGAAAAGATCACTGTACAACGAGAACTACTTGTAGCTAGTGAAAAGCAGATTTCTAATATGTATATACTTAATGATTTCTAGTTTTGAAGCAACTTTTTACTAAGAAAATTCGTATAATAAAGTTTTTTTTTATAATATTTATTTTTTTAATAAAAACTTATAATTCCAGTTCATCCGCAAAAGAAACGTATGCATTAGCGAAAAAATTTCGGGTATTTGAGTGGTCAATTTCTACAGTAACGCGATGCATTATTGGATCATATCTATTTTTTATTTTATGTAAAAAAAGAGAAAAATTAAACACCTTTTTTTAGTTATTAAATAACCTTTTATATATATATTTTTACATATAAATCTGTTAGCGCGTTAATATTACTATAATAAAGTGATGAGATAATAATAAACCGGAATATGTAAGCTGCTTCATTATATTGTAGAGAAACACTGGACTTAATAAAATCGAAAAGATTATTTAAAAAGTTTAGGCAAACATTACTCTCCCAGAGGCCTTAATAATAATAATAATGATAATAATAATAGTAGTAGTAATAATAATAATAATAATAATAATAATAATAATAATAATAATAATAATAATAATAATAATAAAGTAATAATATAACATAAAAATTACCTTTAGTATTATCAAGTTTTAAAAGTTTAGGAATTTCTAAAGTTTTGTATTTAATAACGTTTTTGACTATTTATGATTATATATAAATGTACAGTAATAATAAATAATTAATATAAATAATAATAATAATTATAACAACAATAATAATAATAATAAACCGATGCCCTTTTCATCCCTGAAGCCAACAACTACGAGAGGGACGCCAGCGAGATAAGACTGAGCCCATATTTTAAGCAACTTATGACGCTCAAAAATATCTCTAATAATAAAATAATAAAATAGTATTTATTATATATATATATATATAAAAATAAAATAATAATAATGATAAATAAAAATTAATAAATAAGAAACACTAATACTTATCGTTTATATTTTGAAAAACTCGGCTTGTTTTTAACTCGATAAAATTGGACATATCGCCTTCAACGCTGAACGATAATTTATAGTAATAATTAGTAATAATAATAAATAAATAAATAAATAAATAAATAAATAAATATATAAATATGTAAACGCCTACGAAAATATTAATAAATAAAATGCAAAAAATACAGATTTTGTATTGGAAGAGAGCAGTCCGTTTCCGCGCCCATTACCAATAGATGTTCGCCAAGTTTACTTTTTATTACGCAACAAAAAGCTTCGCAACTGTTAACAGCTGATTATTATTGTTACTATTATTGGTATTTTTATTATTTTCTTAATATTTTTTATACTATAAAATAAATTTAAAAATCTTATTACCTTCATTTCCTAAATCCATTGAGCGTTCTGCTCATAGAAAATAATATAATTATTTTATAGAGAAATTTTAAACATAAAAACTTCAGTTATCAAAAGTTTTATATATGAGTACTATAAAATTTAAATTAAATAATTCCTTTAAAAGACTTCATTATAAATTATTAAAAAAATTTTGTAATAAATATTATTATAAAAAATACGTAATAGTATATTTTAATAATAAAACTAAAAATATTATTAAAGGTAATGATTATCATATTTTTATAATAATATGACAAAAATCTTTTGAAGAAGAAATTTTATTTTCTAAAAAAAGACCCTAAGCCTTTAATGAAATTACAATCTTATACACTATTGGCCAAAAACTCATTATTTTTCTTTATTAACAAAAACCACTAAAAATGGATTTCCGGCGTCACATCTATAAAATTATAAAAATTATAACCAATTCTTACGTTACTTCTTGTCTTACTTTAAAAATTACTAGTTAATATATAAAAAATATACCTCATACCTTTTTTAAAGCCTCCCATTAATTATAATTATAAACAATTTAATTGGCAGAAAAAATTTAAAAGAAGTATCGGATAATATTTAAGTAATCATTTAAAATTTTATTAAATTTCTAATTTCTTTTACAATTTTAAGTTCATTGGTTATCAGCAGCTATAGTATAACAATCATTATAATGTTTAGAGATTTTTAAGTTAATATTCTTTATGTAATAATTTTACTAAACACTCTGTTGGTTTCTTTATAATATGCATTTAGGTTGGGATGCCATTATTATGATAACCAAACTCTCCGCTATATTATTGGATATCTAAAATTTTTATTGCTACTCTATTGGCTATAATTAACTAATCTGATTGGTTATCTTAATTATTTTTTTACATTAAAAAATATTTTTTAATATGCAGCTTCAGTGATTACTTCTAAACCCAATCAGAATTGCAGTAAAAATTACAAAGATTTGAATTTGTTTGCAAAACTATTCCTCTAAATAATTATATATATCAGTTTTACTTACTATTCTGTTGCCTGCTTTTAATCGCTCTTAAGAAAAATAATTGGGGTATTTTAATAAATTTAGTCAACAAAAAAGGTATGATGCTGATCGGTTATTTACATTTTTCCTAAATTTAGTTGGAGTTTATGATTTTTAGTAGTATAGAAGAATATGCTTCATTATTTTATTTAATTATTTACATTTTAATTGGTTATTATTACTTTGCCAATTCTCTTCACGTTTATAAGTGTGAAATACTATAAATATAATTAAATTCACTATAAATAAACAATACTTTTCACAGACTTTATTATATTTTTATTTGTGATTTACTTAAAATTTAGCACCAAATTGTTATTCCTATAAAGTTTCCTTTTTATATTTATATATATAAACTTTTTATATAGTAAAAACATATTATATTTTAAAATATATAAGTAAATTATAATTTTATAGATTTAATATTTAAATTATAAAAGCTGATAGGTAAGATGTTTCCACTTATTTAAAAAAAATATAATTTAAAATAAAAAATAGTAAAAAGTTAATTAATAGAAGTATAAAAAGTTACTCAAGAAACAAAACTGTGTAATATATTAAAATAATTAGAGAATTTAAAAAAAATTCCTAATTACTTTAAAAAATTAAATTATTTTTAGTAAATTAAAAATTTTACTTCCATTTAAAGCAGCTTTCAAGTCTGGAGTAGTGCAATATTGCTCAAACTTATAGCCTTTTCAGTGGAATTCCATACAAAGAATTATTAATCTATATAAATTTAGTACCCCAGTAGCACATTCGTTGAAATGTTGTACTTTGAATCTTTATCCTGATAATAAAAATATAAACAACTTTTCATAGAATAAATCAAAGATGCAAAAAAAAGTAAAAACTTCTTTAAAAATAAAGATGAAATTAATTATTTAATTTATTTGTTAATATTAATGACCTTATTAATATTAAAATTAAAAGTAGCGTTAAAGAAAATAGCAGATATAATTTACTTGTTATTCAATTCTGCAACAGTTAAAAGCTCATCTAGCAAAATAGCGTTACCGACTTTGCAGGCAACAAATGCCCAGTCATCCTAACATATAACATAAATATTATTACAAGTAAAATATAAACTAATATATAAAAAAAAGGTAAACACTCACTTACTTTGCTGTATGGAGCTACAGCCATTTTAGAAAGAAGGCCTCTCCAAGCAAATATTGAACTTCTGTAACTCTGAACATCTTTAAAATTTTGTTCCTTTCTATTTAATTTAATGTTCTATGGAAGATTAAGTAACTGGTTTAGATGTATATACTACTAATATCAACATTATAGTATCGTTGTTTTAAACTTAGGAGTATTCCATCAAGACCGGGTTTGTAAAATTCGGGTTTTCTAATAAAAATATCAGCTCTAGAATATAAAATATTTATTCATGATAAAGAAAAAAGCGTTTGAAGAACAACCCAATATTCAAATCAATATTTAAAGGAGGTTCGATGTAATAGCGTAATTGCGAGTTATTGCAAATAGAGGTAAGATTGGTGTCTACAGAAAACTAAAAATAACTGAGGTTATTTTTTTTAGGTTTAATTTTTTTTTTGGAAGTGTTAACCGTGTTAAGTAAATAAGGAAGTTGGTAACCAAGAGGTTTAACAGTGTTATGGGTTAATCTTTTAGAAAGCTGAAAGCTAAAACTAATCTTGTTATCTTGAGGAGGAGTGTAAACACTAAATTCAGGTTGCTGATATTTAACGAAAAGATCTCCAGTAGAAGGACTGGGTAAAGCTGTCATATTGAGGTTACTGATTTCTATTACATTTACATAAATAAGTATATATGTAATATACCAATTAGTATAACAAAAAAAATAGAGAGAAAAATTAAAGCTGAAGTTATTGAAAGAAACTAAATCTCTAAGAGATAGGTGACTTATACCAAGTTTTATTCAGGAAGATCGAATATAATTCCGCTTATTAACGCCTTTGTACGTTTAAATACTTTTCGGTGTTCTGCTTGTAAAATTTGTCTTTTGAAACAGCTTACCAACAAGTAGATTTATGTATATTAACGTTTGCTATGGGTACTTAATCTCCAATAATTTTTTACGAATAAATATGAGCCAATTAAAAGTTAAAATAACAGTTGCGAGCATGCAAGAGTTAATTCGGTTAATTATAAACATTTTTAAAATATACGCACAAGCAAGAAGAATACTTTTACTAAAATTCTAAAAACAAGGTACTGGCTAGAGAGATAAAAGTCTGTCGGGTATTAGTGTGAAGTAGTCTTTAATAATAATTTATAATTCTCTATTTCCACTAAATTCTTAGTGAGCCGCTATAGTTAAATAGTAAGAACTACGCGAAGAGGGATTCTAAAAATTAACAAGGAATATAAAGGAAATTCTAATTATTTAGGCATTAGCTGTGTGAACTTTGACTTTAAATTAACCCTAGAGTTTTTTTAGAAGCTTTAAAAATGCATATTTGAAGGTATTTACATGAATTCTTTTAAGTTTTTAATGTTCAACGGACTGTAAATTTTTTTTATTATTTTAAATATAAGACACTAAGAGCTATAAAGAAAACTAAAAAAATAATATTGGGCATTGGTATGCTTGTATTAGTGTTGCAATAAAGTTATTTTACCATTTTAAATATAAGACACTACGATATATTAAAGAAAACTAAAAACATAGTGTTGGGCTTGGTATTCTTGTGTTAGTGCTTAACTAAGAACTTGAGGTTAAAATATTTATATTTTAAGTAGTATAATAGTGTTTAGTGTATAAAAAGTAATAGAAAAATTTACTTCATAGTAAAGTGTGAACCACTATTTGCGCTTAAAAAAACAACACTTTTTTTATAGAGGGCAAAAAGATTGTATTGAATTTACAATTAAATATTATGCAAGTATATCTCAAGGTTTTAACTATGTATTTTAAGTGGTATATATAGATATGCTTTGCTAGACTGTAAATAACAATATATTCACTTGTGTACTAAAACGTTACGTGAATACTATAGGCATATTAGATTTGCGAAAATATCAACGAATCAAAGTACGCAAGCTTTTTATCTTAAAACAAAAATATTTGTTTAAACTATTTTTCTAATCGCTTCCATTTATTTACTTTTACTAATTTTAATAATAATTACTTATTTTTTTGCTTATATTTTTTTACTATTTAGTAGGTTGAACCCTTAACCTTTTTTGTTTTTTCAGCTTCTATAGTGCCTTTAGAAAGCTCACCACCATCTCGCATAGTAAAAATCCAAATTATAAAACCAATAAAATGATAAGAGAGGTTAATAGTTAGAGAATAATACATATATTACTAGTTTTTTCCAACTTAACAATTTATAGTCGTTATATTTGCTATAAAGTTTAAAAGAGATAATTTTCTTACAAGGTCACCCCTCTATCAGACCCAGTCTATCTTGAAGGGAGTGGTGACCATGAATGAAAGGAATTTTTTTTTGTTTTTTTTGGAGTTGTATATTAGCAGAATGTTTCCGAGTGCTCGCCAATAGATGATTTCGCATGCATAAAAGAAAAGAGTACAAATAACCCTGTGATACGGGTGAATGAATTAATGGGCAAAAAAGATAAACTGTTATTGTATGATTAAAGACTTCTAACAAGACTTTATTATAGGTTTAGGATAGGTAAGTAATACGCCTTTAAATAATAACTAAATACACTTTTTAGATATGTTGGAGTTAATGGTAAATCACGTACTCATTCCTGCGCGGGTATTTCCAGTTAGGTAGCACGTGATTACCCGCGAGCTTCATCATTGCTTTCTGCCACGTGTCAGGTGTCATAGCACGTTTCCACGTCCGCCCTACCATTCGTAAATTTTGTATTTCTTCCACTGAAGGTTCCAATACCCTTCCTCTACGGGGTACTGTATTGATTCACACCTATTTTTCTTCGTCGATGTACATGTACTTTTGATGTAGCCCAGCTTTTATATTTTACCCTTATCCACCCAGAAAAGTAAATGGGTTGATAAGCCTTAATGTAGTTAGGATAATTGGTTTGTTGTTAGAAACGTTCTACTTATGGTTTTAATTTGTAAAATAGAGTTACCTTTAAAAAAATTGTATTCTTGCTACTAATAAAATATTTTAGCGACAGCTTTCTAATTCACTATCTAACCTATACATTCTCGGAAGTTGACCTTATTAGCTTTAAATTGAACATCCGTTAAAGTGTTAAAAAAAAAACACTTGTGGAACACTTAAAGCAGGACATATTTGTAGATAAAGAGGGTATTAGGCTATTACTTTATTTTCTTGTCCTGCGTCACTCGTGGTAGTTGAGGCGCCAGAGAGACAAAGTTAGAAAAAAGTTAGATTTATCTATGTTGGCATGGATGGTTTCTTTCTTATACTTTACAAAAAGTACAACAGGCATTATTGTAAGAAATTCTAGAAAATTTCGTCGTTTTCTAAATCGAATTAGCGAAGGTCTTTAAATTTGAAAGTTTCCATTCCCAAAGACTGTTATGAAAAGAACTGAGTTTACGTTTGCCCACAGTATTTTAGTTAAATGCTAACTTAACATTAAAAAATCATCTTGCTGTGCACCCTCTTTTAAAACGTCCACGTTAACTAATAATTTTCTTATTGCAAAGTGTTACAAAATAATCTAAAGTAAACCTTTTTCCGAATTATGTAGGTTTTTTTTAAAAATAACCAATGTCAGCAGTCGTACAGACAGGGCCTTGGAAATGTTATATATATATATTGAGAATGTTTATAGTAAGAGTATAATGTTCAAGGAAAACGCACATGTGATTATATAAGTTTGACTCGGGCAACTGCTGCAATTTTTTTTGCTTTCTTTGTTTGTTGTGCGGTTTGGATTTAAGACCAATACATACGCTTTATTTTTTTTTTAATAAATAAAGTTATCTAACTTTTAAGCATGTATATTGAGTAACATCCTGTATAGTAAGTGACGCTAAAATTCATTTGCAAGTTATTTTAATTAAGTTACGAGTTGAACTATTAAGAGTAGTTAAAAAGTTAAAAAAAAGGAAATAAGTTTATGCGACCAAACATGCCTTTTTTCTTATAAAAAGTCATCTACTTTATACTAATGGAATTACACTAAAAAAAGAAACCAATGAAACCGCAAAGCATCAACATATACTTCACTTTATTAGATTTGTTAATTTTTACTCTCTAATGAAGCGTAAAGAATCGGCAGTTACTTCCTTGTTAACCTTATGTTCATTATTTTAAATTTTTTGATGGAGGGACCTTGACCATCTACTTTCTAAACTAAAGTATGGACCGCAAAGTGCACCAATTGTGATGACTGGCACCGAGTTGGGTTTAGTTATTTGTTTTTATTTTATTAAAAGCATCCAGCTAAGAACTTTATAGGGAAAACGATTCTAGCTTACTCGACTTTAAATTTACTGTCCTTATAGCTTATATCTCTTTATAAGACCTATTTTGTAACATAGAAGAAGGACTGCTATTTAGAAGATCCTTAAAAAAAAGTAGAACCACCAATAATTATAGGCGGTTTGTAACTTTGACTTACAACTACAATCCAATGAAAAAGGAAGAAACTACAAACCTTTTTGTAAGTCAGCGTTCTCTTATAGTTACTAATTAAGTAAGGAATTATACTTAGTAAAGAAATAATAATAATAATATAGACTTAAAAGATATAAGTTGGTTATTAATTTAAAAATGATAATATAAGAAAGTATGGTAAAATTCATATATTTTTATTTTAATTATAGAAAGTTACAATATTAATAAGTAACCTCCGATGTGCTTTTAAAATGATACATGGTATGAAAAAAATTTAAAAACTACTTATTTAAGCGCTGTTATTACGATCGAGACTTGCTTGATTTTGCAATACATATATGTAATTTTCAATTATAGTTTTAAGGTCATTACGAAATATTATCTATGTACTATCAGAATAATTTGTTCAAGTAGTATTCATAAGTGGGTTTTTTTTGCTTCTAACAGCGCGAAGTCAATATTTTTGCGTGCAGTAGTTTCAAAGTCTCAATATTCTTGCAGGCAGCTCTGTCTGCATTCTATTTCATTGGTCGCTGGCGACGCAGTGAGTTGCATTTAACAATTACTTTCTCTTGAAGGTGGCTTATCGATTGATGCTTGGTCTTAAGGGCAGCGAGAAATGGTGCTAGTAATTATAGACCGTCACAGACGTTAAAAAATTTTGCTATCAAACCACTACTGAATTTTTAAATGCCTCGTCTTATAATTTGTATCTCCTTTGCCTTTTGCATTGTGCACTTGGGGCATCCCACTTTCTACGAACTCTGGCACCGTCTTGCGTTGGGGTTTACGCTAAGACGCGGAACTTTTTGGGTGGACGAACCCCACTTCATTACAAGAACTCTTTCAACGCTTAAAAACGCTTTTAACTGGTTACAAAAGTGATGAGTAACTAACTAGTAACGCAGTGTAAAGTGCACCTCCTAAATTGCGAACACGTATAGCTCTATCTCCACCGCTTACCTTCAAAGGAGTAAGGAAACATGAGGCAATGTGTTATTATTCTTAATAACACTAAAAAAAGTAACTTATAAAGTATAAAATAAAGTATACCTGTTAAAAATCGCACAAAATGGGCAAATAGACTAAAAAGAGATAAAGAAAAAAAAAAAGGCGTCAGCCATGTGACTTTTGTATATTTTCCCTAACCCTTAACCCTCGCTTTCCTGGAGTTACAGATGACGCAAAATAACAAGCCGTTGACATTAATGCTCCTCTTAATATATATCGCATGCTTTGCCAAATAGCGTCAACCTATCCATTATAGCTTGCACAAAGAGTGTGGTGCCCCTAGAAATAAACTAATGTAATATGCGCATGCATTCTAGTATCACCTAAGCATTAAGACTGCACACTTGAAGATGCTACCCTAAATCCCTGCGACTAATGGTTAACGTAGCTTGATAATGTCGTACGCACAGATTAATTAAGCTATTAGCAAAAACGAAT